ATATGCAAGAGGCAGTGAGGGCTCAGTTGCTGAAATAGTTAAAAGCTCTTGAGAGGATTACCATGCCATGCCCTGAGGCCATTTCCTTTTCTTTTGTAGTTCACACAGCTTCCCCTTATCAGATATACTCACTGCCATCCAGTGGATTAGACTCATAGCAGCCCCTCCTTGACTTTCCCAGGTGGTATCTCTATGGAGGTAGATTGCCCAGTCTTCCTTCCCAAGAGTGGCTGGTGGGTTTTAATCACCAGCCTTCTGGTTAGTAGTCAAACGCCTTAGGCACTATGCCATATGAGGTAAAGCAATACTGTAACTGGAAGGAAGACTGGGCAATCTACTTCCATAAAGATTCACTGCCTCAGAAACCCAGAGGGTCACTATGAGTCAGAATTGACTTGATGGGAGTGAGTTTAGTTTTTTGTTTTTTTTTTTAAATACTGTAACTGGAATCAAGAAGAAACAAATACAGGCAATTTAATAGAGTCATTTTTCCTACTCCTCCCCCCACCATTGTAATGATATACTTCATTCAACCAAAACCAAATTCATTGCCATCGAGTCGATTCCGACTCATAGCGACTCCCTTTAGGTTTCTGAGGCTGTAAATCTTTATGGAAGTAGATTGTCCAGTCTTCCTTTCATGGAGTGGCTATTGGGTTTGAACTGCCAACCTTCTGGTTAGCTGCCAAATGCCCTAGGCACTATGCCACCAGAGCTCCTTAACTTCATTTAAAGTGTGTTTAAATGATTGCAAAACAGTAATGGTACAGTTTTTTCCTTGAAAGCACTAAGCGCATAAATTATTGTCACTGGGGTGGAATGGTTGCTTCCTCAGGGGATCTTAAATTACAATCTTTGTTCAGACTAATTTGTATCTGCATCAGGCACTGTTTTACAGCTGTCTTCTGTATCAAGCATTGCCCTTTACCTAAGTACTTATAAAAATATCACAGATAATAATTGGATCATTAAGTATAGTTGCTACACCAATATTTTTGAGTATGGCCATCCAAAAGGAAGCTGAGAGATGTATTGAAAGTAATTTCAGAAATCTAACTCTGGATTTACCCTAATGGGATTTTCTTTTTTTTAAAAAAAGGGAGGGTGCTCTTATTTCTTATCAGCACCAGTTGCTATTAAGGTGATTCCACTCATGGCAACCCCATGTGTGTCAGAGTAGAACTATATTCCACACAGTTTACAAAGGCTGATTAGTTCAGAAACATATCACCACCAGGTCTTTCTTCTGAGGTGCTTCTGGGTGAACTCAAACCACTAAATCTATCTATCTTCCTTCCTTCCTTCCTTCCTCCCTTCCTCCTTTTCTCCCTCCCTCCTTCTCTCACTCCCTCCTTTTCTCCTTCCTTCTTCATAACTTTTTTTGTGTGTACTTTGGATGAAATTTTACAAAGTAGATTTGTTTTATACTCTACGGTTTTTTGTATTTTTTAATTTACTTTTTTAAATTTTTATTGTGATTTGGGTGAAAGTTTACAGAGCAAACTCATTTTCCATACAGCAGTTCACATAGACTTTGTCTCATGACATTGACTGCAATTTTGCATAGTGCAACAGCTCTCCTCCCACTTCCTCCCCATAGTCACCTCTTCCCCGTGTCCCTCCCTCCCATGTACTCTTGCCCCCTGAGCTGTCTCCCTGTGCATATGATGCCCTTCTATTCTTCCATGATTGATCTCTCCTGGGAGTGTATCTAGCTAATGTAAATGTACAGCTCATATGCCTGTCTTTTGTTTGGCTAGAAATCATAGGAGTGGCTTTAATTCCTGACCTGAAGGGCAGCTAGAAGCCATAGTGTTAGGAGTTCCACCAGGCTCTATCAGACCTACAAACCTGGTCCCTTTTTTATGATTTGAGTTCTGTTCCACATTGTCCTCCCACTCTATCCAGGGTCTCCTACAGAGATCTTCCTCTGAGTGGTTGACAGTGGTACTGTGCACCATCTAGTTCTTTTGGTCTCATAGTTGTATAGGCTGAGGATCGCATGTACATTCTACAGTTTATACACATTTTGTTTTGCGACACTGATTACAATCCCTGCAGTATAACAGCTCTCTTCCCTCTTCCTCCCTGTGGTTATCCTTTCCCTATGTCCTTCTTGCTTATATGTATTCTTGCCTCCTTACTTTTTTCCCTGTGGCAGAGCTACCTTTCTGATCTCCCATGGTTGATTGTTCTAAGGAGTGCATCTCCCTGGTGTAGTTGTTTAGCTCATAGGCCCGTCTGTTGTGTGGCTGAGATTTAAGCTACAGGAGTGAGTTCAATTCCAGGCCTTAAGGGTGACTTGGTGCCACAGTCTCAGGAGTTTTTCTAGCCTCTCTCACTAGAGATCTTTGTCTTTTTTATATTTAAAAAATTTTGTTCCACATTTTTCTCTGACTCTATCCAGGATGTCCCATTTTAATCCCTTTCCAAGTGGTTGGCATTGGTAACCAAGTACCATCTAGTTCTTCTGGTCCTTTGGAGTCATTGTTTCCATGTGTCTTTGATTTTCTTCACTATTCTTTGCTCCAGACTAGAAAAGACCATTAGTTGCATTTTAGATGGCAGCTGCAAGCTTTTAAACTCCAGTTGCTACTCACAGAAGTAGGATGTAGAACAATGATTTTGTGTACTATGTTGTATTAATTTAGCTTGATGTCCCCAGGGTCAATGGTCCTAAGCCCACAGGCCCAGTGACTCACTCCCTCAGGGTGCTTGGTAGTGGCTAAGAAGTTATCCTAAATTTGTCTGCTGCTAGGTTTATGCTGCATATGGACATTTTTATAACCAAAACCAAACCAAACTCACTGCCACCAAGTTGATTCTGACTCTTAGCAACCCCCTTGGGTTTCTGAGATGGTAGATCTTTACAGAAGTAGATTAACCAGCCTTCCCTCCACGGAGTGGCTGGTGGGTAGCACATACAAATATGTATGTAGGTATGTTGTATGCCAAACCTATGTATTCAAACCACTTGCTAAAGCACTTGACTGCTAACCAGAAGGCTGGCGGTTCAAACCCACCAGCCACTCCTTGGAAGGAAGGTTGGGCAATCCTACTTCCGTAGTGATACTGCCTCGGAAACCCAAGGAGGGGTCGCTATGAGTCGGGGTGACTCAACAGCACATAACAGCAACAACAACAATCTTTATTTATCTATTTTTTATTGTGTTTTGGGTGTAAATTTACAGAGCAGATTAGTTTTACATTCAACAGTTCATGCACATTTGATTTCACAGCTCTGATTACAATTCCCAGTCATAAAAGACTCTCCTCCTCCCCTCTCCTCCTTGTGACTACTCCCTCCCTATACCCTTCTTATCTGTGCATTGCTGTCTGTCTAGCTTTCCATCTATGTGAATGTTACCCCTCTGATGTCTCATGGTTGATTGATTTAAAGGGTGCATTTCCCTAGAGGAGGTGGGTGCATCACCCTGGGGTAGGTGTTCTCCATGTAGGTCATTCTACTTTTGAGCTGAGAGAAAATCCACGGGTGTAATTTCATTTCTAAGCCTGAAGGATAACCTGGGGCCATAGTCTCGGGGATTCCATCAATCTCTATTCAACCAGTAATTCTGGTCATTTTTATGTTTTTGAATTTTGTTCCACATTTTCCTCCCACCCTAATAAGGATCTCCAATTTTGATCCCTTTCTGATCAAACCAGTAATCTGTAGATTAGTAGCTGAGCATTCACTATTTGTGCCAACCAGGGACTCCTGATATCACTACGGTCCCAGATTTTTAGTGGGACCAAAATACCATTTTCATTTTAGTATGAGAGTCAGACCTCCTTAAACAGCTCCAAGATTCATTTGTGGCGGGGCTCTGGTGGTGTAGTACCTAAGGCATTTGACAACTAACCAGAAGGCTGGTGGTTCAAACCCACAAGCCACTCCTCGGAAGGAAGACTGGGCATTCTACTTTCATAGAGATACTTGTGAGACCTGGGTGTCAGGCTAAGTATCTAAGTATCACTTAGATGAGTCAGCTGGCCTCTCTGAGTCTTGGATTCCTCCCCTCTCCGCTGTCCTCAGGAGTACTAGCTGAGACTTCACAACTGTGATAAGGATTGGATGAAAAGGACACATCACAGAACCTTGCATATAGAAGTCTCAATGAAGGAAAGCTGGTATTCAAACTTTGCTTGTATATAGGCAGTGTTTTGGAATATCTACTGATTGTCAAGAAGCCACTGAAAAAAATGTGGGAGTAAAAATCTCCAGACCCATTGGGAAATTGCATGCACAATAGGCTTATTCTTTATTTTGTCTCAAGTGTTCACTATTAGTCCAGCTCTAAGTCCTACAGGTCTTGTGTCCTACTGCTCTGTAGCTCTTGTGTAGCCAGAAAAGAGACTTCAGAAACCAAGAGGGCTCTTTGAAACTACATGGTATGCTCAAGCAAAGGAGGTTGAACCAAGAGCTCAGTTCTGCTTCCTCTCCTGGCCCCTGTAAGGTGTTGGCAAGTCTACTGCACCTCCCGGTTCTAGAACTGCTCTAGGAATTTTCCGGATACACTATATATAAACCAAGGAGCTCTGGTGATGTGGTGCTTAAGGCATTTGACTGCTCACCAGAAGGCTGGTGGTTCAAACCCACTAGCCACTCCTTGGAAGGAAGGGTGGGCAATCTACTTCTGTAGTGATACTGCCTCAGAAACCCAAGGAGTGTTCACTATGGGTCAGATCCAATTCCACAGCAGTGAGAGTACTATAAACCAAGAAAAGCATCAGAGGTTAAACACTGGGGCCTCTTGCATATTTGCAATGCTAATTTTTGTTAACAAACTCAAAGCTATATTGATTGTCTTTCCCAAACGCAGTTAAATACAGCCTCTCTTCACAAACCTAGTTTTGAAGGTCTTATGAGTTTCCTGTGGAGCATTTCTTACACTTATTGCTGCTTCTTACATTCATTGGTGCTTGTTACCTGTTATAGTATGCCTTGACACACACACTGATGGGTTCTTCCTTCTTCTTTTGTGACAACTGATTTACAGGAGAGAATCATTGAGCGCTTGAAAGAACAGCGGGAAAGAGATGATCGGGAAAGACTAGAAGAGATAGAATCCTTCCGAAAAGAGAACAAAGATCTGAAAGAGAAGGTTAATGCTTTACAAGCTGAACTGACCGAGAAAGAGGTGAGTTCAAAAAATATATGAATTATGTTGATAGTGCTCATTGTAGTTCCGGAAGACTCAGTTTGAGGAACTCTGTAAAGAATATGGAAACATGGTAACTTTTCTTCTATAAAGCTCACCAAATTCAACAGAAAATACTTCTCGTAACTCTTTTCAGTAGTGATGTCCTAAGGATTTCTTCTCTACTGTATGGAAGGAAGTTTGGGCAATCTACTTCTGTACAGATACTGCCTCAGAAACCCAAAGAGGGGTTGCTATGAGTCGGGGCGACTTGATGGCAGTAAGTTTTTTTTTTTTTTTTGGTACCAACTATACACAATACAGTTCCTTCAAACTTTTCTATCTTACCACGTTTTTGTGGCATAAAGGATTCAATATTTTTTCAAAGTCCTGTGACCCTTTGCTTGAGATAACAAAAACAATAGTAGCACATTGATAATCATAATATCAGCTCCACTTAAATGGAGAGCCTGCTAGGTGCTAATTCTTGTGGTGGGTGCTTTACATTCATCTGTGCTTCTCAAACCGGCGACACTATTCACCTGGGGTTAGGAGATGTAGTACCTGCTGGACATAAAGGTAGAGGTTAAATGTGGCTGCTTTTCCAGAATATTATTTTTATGTTATGGTAAATAATATATGGAATGCAATTCTTACCTCTGTTGTTAAGGTAAACAATATACTTTAAATAAATGTCTTGCTTAGGGGTTATGAAGAGGATCATTGTACTACATTCACCCATCCTCCAAAAGATACTTATCCCCCCCCCCACACACACACACGCGGTTTGTTTAGGGGTACTTTTGTGGAGAAGTTTGAGAAGCAAGAAAGCACATTATTTTATTCAATCTCCACAACTCCACAGTTAGCTCCTTCACACTTTTGTCAGACTCTTTCAGCTTGCCAGCTTCACCGTTGACCATTTTCTCAGCCATATAGTCACCTGAATGGTGACTAGGTTTTTGATAATTCTGTACAAATTAAAATGGTGCCTGAATTAAGAATCCAGATGAAGACAGAAAGGATTGATGAGTAAGAGGAGTTTTGAAGAAACCCAGAAGTGAAATTCATATTCCTAATTTTTTTTTTTAAGAAGAGATTATTTCTTTGATAAGAAAGAATTTAAATCCTTTTCCTACTGTCTCACTGTTAATTGTAACTTTGATCATCTATAATTACTGTACTTTGTAGGTATCAAAAGCCTCAGAAACTTTGACCTCACTTGTAATACTCTTCTTCAGTTGAAAGTGTTATTTGTGGGTTTGTACCTTAAAATCATGTGCATCAAAATGAAAAGAAATCCTGATGACATGGTGGAATGTGGGTGTTAAATGAAGATAATTTTTTAAAGAATGATTAGACTATATGAATTTTCAGATAAGCACTTTAACAAGCGGTTATTGTGCAGACACAATGTGCCTGGCATTGGGTAGATTTCACCAAAGAAACAACCGCAGGACATACAGGTAGATACATGTATGTTGGGAGCTCTGGTAGCATAGTGCCTAAGGCACTTGATTGCTAACCAGAAGGCTGGCGGTTCAAACCTACCAGCAACTCCTCGGAAGGAAGATGGGGCAATCTACTTCCGTAGTGATACTGCCTCGGAAACCCAAGGAGGGGTCGCTATGAGTCAGGGCCGACTCCACGGCACATAACAACAACAGCAACAACATGCTCAGTCCGCTGGTGGAATTTCTTCTTTCTTCAGTTCTGCTCTGAAAGCCTTTCATATGATTGGATTAAGCCCATCCAGACTGTTGAAGATAATTCCCTCTACTTAAAGTCAACTGACTATCGATATTAATCACATCTACAAAATACCTTCACAGCAACACCTAGATTAGTGTTTAACTGAATAACTTGGAACTGTAGTCTGGTGAAGTTGACACATAGACTACCCATCACATGAGGAAATATAAAATTTGTAAAAAAGAACAACAAACCATTGCAATCCATAAGGAGCTTAGAATTTAGTTGAGGTGTGAATACACATTCACTGTGACAAAAAAATGACTGAAGTATAACGTTATTTGTTGTTTCTGTGGAAGTGATTTGATAACACTGGAATTGTAGGTGGAGATCTGAGTTTGAGACTTCTGTACAGGTAACACTTAACTCATCTGAGCTGCAGTTTCCTCACCTGAAAGATGAGTATGACTGGCTTGTCCCTTGGAGGGTTGTTAGGAACACCTTGCTAGATGGTGGTGGGTGGTGGTGTCTTCATCATCACAATCATTCCTGCCCATGAAGCAGCCCAGAAACAAGGTACTAGGCAACAGCATTTACTGAGAGGCCACAGCATACCTTCCTTGGTGCTGCAATTAGATAGAAAGGAAATGCACAATGCCTGATTTGGGGTAGAACCTGATCATTCTACTCAAATAATTAGTGTTGCCAACCATTTCGTAGTCAATAATGAGCATTGCCCTCCTAGGTGACAAAGTTCTGTTTAGTAATACATACATACAAGTGTTTATTTTTTTAGTTTTTTTGCATTTCTGTCTATACAGGGAAGCTCTTGGTTTATAGACCTGATAGATGAATGGACCAATTTAGGTAACCCCATGCCTGAGTTGGCTGAATTTGGATTTGTGGAAGGCTAGAACATAAAATCTACTTTATTTTTTGAAAATCAATTTTATTTTTGACCCTCTAAAAGATGTTTGAAAAACCATTGGTCATTTTTCTGTTAAAGGAAAGAAATAGTCTGATAAAAATTCAAAAGGGTGCCTCTTTTATATTTGATTTGCGTTTTTGGGAGAGAAAGCAGTACAGTTGGTATTTTCGTTCACATTTGTCTTAGAGTCTGTGCAACCTGACAGCAATAAATGTAAACAGAAGGCTTGGGGTGTCTGTTTTGCCATGACTGTGAAGACCACCTTGGGACTGACATCATTAACATGACTTTGAGATGTGACCACACCATTGAGTCACATTTGATTCTGGTGCAGTGAGATCCTGTTTGGTTCTATAAACTGGCCAAGTTTAATTTCCTGGCCAGAGCTGACTATTGTAACCTTTGTAAGACTATATTTACACTTTCTGTCTATTGTACTCTTTATTGCTACATATAGAATCAATGTACTCAAATTGAAGACTTTGATAGTAGAAATTGCAGTGCTTTACTTACTAGAGTTCTTTTCCTTTCAGTCTAGTTTAATTGACCTCAAAGAACATGCATCTTCATTAGCCTCAGCAGGGCTGAAAAGGGACTCCAAATTAAAATCTCTAGAAATAGCCATCGAACAAAAGAAAGAGGAATGTAGCAAATTGGAAGCACAGTTAAAAAAGGTAAGTGAAGTTTAAGAAAAAAAATGTTCATTTAGAAATGAATTTATAAAATGGGAAAGGAAGAGACATTTTTCAAAAGAAACAAACCCCTTATCTCCTCTTGCTGTCTGCTGATAAAAGAATTAAACCCTCTTAAGAAGTCTGCATCAAATCTGCCTGTGAACCTGAAAAATTATCTTAGGTTTCCTGTCTGAAGAAAACTTGAAAAATAGATGAAAATAATGTAGTGGAAGTGAAAACATATTATAAAAACCAGCCGCTGCTCTCTGGGCAAATCTCAACTATCAAAAAAGATAAATGGAAATGTTTGCAACAAACCAAATAATCATGGGGCCCCATTAGACATTGATAAAGGTTTACTCCTTTCAGAAGTAAGTCTGATTTTTTTTTTTTTTTTTTGTATTGGAACTTTGCAGAAATGTTTTCCTGACAACTTGAAATTTCTAGAAGTTCACTAAAACAAATCAAGTCCTTAGCATATCTGTAGGATGACTACTTATACTTGACCAAAAATGGCCATGATGTCTAAGAAAGCTTGTTCATGTAGAAACCTTTGGAAAATAAAGAATCTTTACATTGTAGCATTAACATGTTTTCTCTGACCTGGGCATTTTTGTGGAGTACATTTCCAGTCATGCATTGTTCCTTTGACTTTTTGCCTGTGTTGTTTGGTACGTCTGCAGTCATTGTTTACATAAAACTCATAACATTATGAGTTTAAGCATTTTGTTTCCCTTTGGCAGTTTACAAACTCATTCAAAAGAAATGATAAAAATCTGAAATAAAGCTTGGAAGAAATTTGACTATGTATAATTCATAGCACACTAAGATGGGGATATATTTGCTAGAGCTATGAAAATATATGAAAGGATGATCAGAGTCATGAAACATACATGTATCTGTGGAGAAATTATTCTGGGTATTTAAAAATTTCATGTAATATTTTATATAATATTTCATATAATATTCTAAGCAATGCTGTGCTCATTTTGTCAGTTTTAAGAACCTCTCATGACAAATTTCACACTAGTAAAGTCTACTTATTAATACAGAAATACAGATAGATCAAATTCTTTTATAACAAAACAGAATTTTTATACTGTAAAATCTATTTCCTAAGCCACTCAGTTTCTCCCTTATTTCAAGCAATATTTAGTTGAACAGGAATCTTAAACAATACAATGATTTAAACTACCTATTTGAGGAGTCCTGGTGGTGCAGTTGTTAAAGCACTCGGCTGCAACCAGAAGGTCAGTGTTTGAATCTATCAGATGCTCTGCAGGAGAAAGATGAGGCAGTCTGCTTCCATAAAGATTTATAACCTTGGAAACCCTATGAGACAGTTCTACTCTGTCCTATAGGGTCGCTGTGGGTTGGAATCTACCCCACGGCAGTGTTGTTTTTTTTTCTTTAAGATTCTTTTAATGAAGATTAACTTGGCTATGTATGCACTAGATGTATGATATACGTTCATGACATATACATGAATGTGTTCTGCAATATGTTGTGCATACATATACATATCCAGAAATAAGCCTTGAAATGTACTTTTTATCTGATAATACAGTTTTATGATCATAAAGCAGTTCTAACATAACTCTGCAAAAGAGAGAAATTCATTGGCTCCCTGTGGTGGTCCTTTGCTCTATCTTACCTGAGTTGCAGTATGCTGAGACTGGAAGAAAGAGGACTTAAAGTAGAAGTACACATGAAAGACACTCGCTGTCCACCCTGATGAAGATGGATATCAGGGTACCACGTTTATTGTTTTTAAGGACACATACAAAACACCTTCTTCTTTAGTGTAAGTCATCCAGGAAGTTTGAAATCTTCTGGTAATTAGAAAGAAGAGATTCACATATTTTTGCTTATGATTTGCCTGTATATGATTTGACTAGTTTCATAAAACAACATCTGTGCAATTCATTTTTAGTTTCAACATAGCTGTAGTTTGCCCATCTCTCAGGTAGATGCCAGGTACTGAAATTCACAGGCCAGGAAATCCTGTAAACATTTTAGGATTATTCCTAACAGCATTTTAATACTCTGACGTGCCACCAGAATGAAACTAACTAGTAGGGTTGTCTTTCTGTAAAGGACCTATTTAATTTATGAAAACTTAACTTATTTTTAAGCATACAAATAATCTTTGTTTATACTATCACCTAAATGCACACTGCAGGAGATTAAATAGTGTAATTAGAATTTAAATATTTTTATAGATAACCTGCAAATGCTATTTTGTTGTTTTTGGCTGTCTATAATCAACTAAATTCAAAAGTTTAAAATATTTTTTCTAGTAGTCTTTAATTTTTGCTAATAAATAGTTCTGTAAAAACCTCAAGTACCCATCACCTTAAAAAAAATTTGAGATCTCATGAAATAAATTAAACTCTAAGCCAGCACTATATGAATGTACATATAAACACATCATTTACCCCTGGAAAAATAAGCAGTTATAAAAGTGTAAGGAGTGTCTGGACCTCCTTTTAAAGAAAAGAGCATGTTACTTATAAATAAAATATAAAGATTTGCTAAATGAAAGCTGAAAACGTAATAGTTTTATTATGCCATAAATACTACATGAGTTCCCAATGGAAATTTGCTCAAGATTTGTGAGCGTCCAGGTATTTTCACCATAAAATCTATACCATGTCATAGGTGTGTTTAGTGGAACAGAAACCTTGTCTGTCAAGGACAGTGGAACCCAAATGGTGACTTAAATTTATTTTCCTGTTACGAACAGTGCTTGACATGGGTAAAGTGATTTTTTACATGAAAGTTTGTAGGGAATATTCGCATCAATAGCCACTTTTAACCCTTTACTATATCATGTTAAGACATGTCCATATATTTGTGATGGAAAATTGTCAGAGGCAAAAAAATGAATTATTCCTTATACATTCCCTTCCAACTATTTACAATGATATGATCTGTTCATGTGTGAGGAAATTCTCACCATAATAATGAGGCTAATAAAAGGATACTAATAACATTACACAAAGAACTAGTATTTAAAATACATTTATCAATGATAATAGATGCGTAGGGCTTGAGAGGACTTGGTTAATGACCAGTTACTTGATCATTTTGTCCTTCAGAAGAGTATCTGGTGGTCCAGATTTAGAGGTAAATTTATATATCATAAATCCTATATGATTAGAAATCAACTTGAGAAGCAACCATCATTCAAAATGTTAGGATTTATGCTACTTGGTAATTTTCTAATTAATATCACCTGGCAGAGGGTTTTTGCCTTTTAATCATGATACAGTTATCATTTATTTCATCAGAGTTTGAAGAGCAAGAAATCAGGCTCTTCAAAGGCCTTCATATCTCAGCTTAAAGTAGAGCAAAGGTTCCTACAATATTTCGGCACATAACAACAACACCACCACCACCTTGATAAAGCTCCAAATTAATGGTGCAGGTATTTAGAAATATCATTCGGGAATGCTATAGTAATGTTTCGTACATTTAAATCTTCTACACAGAATAGACAGGCAAATATTACAGATTCTAAAGCAGTTAGGACATAACAGGATAGTCCTTGAAAATAATACTTTTTTTGTTAATTATGAACTAACCGTGGAAACTGGTGATGGGCATTGGATACTCCTGAATTTTAATTCCCTTTAATCTTCCTACTGACTTAAAATTTTTCTTCTCCAATTTACTGTTAATCCTATAATGTCTTGCTTACTGATATTTCGCTATTGCTAACCTGCTGTTTGCTGATCTATATTTTTCTGAAGTTAGACTGAAGAGAAAATTCAGGCTTGTGTTAATGTAAAAGAAGAGCTATAAATTCAATGATAAGATTTAATTAATCTTTTATTATTACCATCTTTGAAGTTCAGGTAATAAATTGCAGGCTTGGCCAAAAGTACTTCTTCTGATTCATTACTAGAGGCCAGCACTTCATGTATCATCAAAAGTGGACAGCTTTCTTTATTTCATGGGTTATTTAACTTGAGAAAGGGAAAGTAACACAAACCTTAAATTTCTTATTCCAGCTATTCTTTTCTAGGAGCCAAAATCAACATTTGTATTTCCCTAGAGCCTCTCACTTTCACTGTGGAATGTTTAGAAACTGAAATTTCTTCTTTTTTAATGACCAATTCGTCTGTGCAAATGCACTGGATTTGTTGAGCTAATGCTGTTTTTCTGGATCTTTCCTTCTTTCCCTGTCTGTGCTTCAATGCCTCCCCAACTTTGCAATGTAGCAAGCTGAGCAGTTGTTCAATCAGATGTACAACCCAGTAAGTCTTTTCCAAAAGTTCCCGCTGTAACATATCAAAGCATGAGGATCCATTGACCACATGTCACTATGTGCCATACTGGGGTGGTTTCGAAAATATTTATGAATCTCTTCCTGTTTTCATTCTGTCGAAAGAAATGACCTGTGCAGAAGCCACTGCCATTTCTTTTGAATGCAAAATTTACAAAATTAAGAACTCAAGGAAATATTGCCAGCTTTGATATTATCTCCTTCTTCACTTCAAATCTCAGGCTATAGACACAGGTCAGGAGCAGATCTAGGCTCATGAAATTCTTTCTTACCTTCTATAGACACAGACTTATCTATGTCAAAAGGCATAGTGTTAGTAAAATAACAAATAACTGTATGCACGCTGTTACCAAGTGATAGAAATTAAAATAATTTACAGTTTAAAATTGTGCTATGCTCTTTGAGATTGGCAAATAGCTAACATAGTAGATTTTGTAAGAGTTCAAAACATGTCCTTTGGCTGAGAACAACCCAAAATATAGCCTCCTAGTAACAATTCTGAGTACAGTTTAATGAGGACCGAAACAGGTAACTAGAAAACTATTTGTAAAATGGCCCAGATGCCACCACTTATTTATTTATTTTATCCTAATGACAGGTGTGCATTTGTAGGAAGCAATTTATTTGTTTCTCTTACCTTTTTTAAGAAGTGCCTTTCTGTTTTGTGAACTCAGGTGACTCACTAGGAGAAATATTACATATAGGTGGC